AGAGAGAGAGAGAGAGAGAGAGAGAGAGAGAGAGAGAGAGAGAGAGAGAAAGAGACGGTGAATTGCATTCGACACACATTATTTTGCCAATTAACCGACTATTTATTGGAAAAATTATTTTCATTTATATTATTAACTCAAAACGAACTCGATCACACTCGCACACGCACACATAGACAATCAATCGTATTTACTGCACTAATTTTAATTAATCAATCTATTTGGTTTCAATTGCAATCGAATTAAATCAATGCCATCGCATTAATTTTACTCACACAACGTGTAGTCTGTCAATCATAAAGCTGATACCATAATGAAGTGTCACACCGAAAATACACACGAACTCCATTCTCTGTTCCGCCATATAAACCGATTTGCTAGGTGGAATTGTGTGCCGTTTATTATTGCACAGCATTTCACGTATTTGATTGATCAGCGAACTGAAAAGTAATTCTTTGCCGAAAGTATTATTGCAAATGAAAACATGATTTTCGTCTACAATTTCCCTGCTTTTGCCAAGTTTGCACGATGACGAATACAATTCGTCCATTAGTAACAAACTAGCTCGACTTATTCGTCGGCTATGTTTAGTCTCATCCACTATTCGATGCCATTTATTCTTGGTAGAAGATTTTCTTACCAAATCGATCTAAAGCTGTGCCTAGGCATTCATTACAAGAACCATTATAAGTATTGTTTCTGTCCACCTCCCTCAATATCATTTACCCTGAACACTCTTAGATTTAACATTTGTCTCGTGTATTTATTCTGTATATTTTTTTCTTTTTTCTATCACACAGCAAAATTATCTAATGGAATTTGGCTATTTGCCGAAATCGGATATTGAAACGGGAAACCTTCGAACTGAAGACCAATTAAGGGAATCGATCAAATCATTGCAGAGATTTGCCAATATACCAGCCACCGGTTTGATTGATGAAAAAACGATTGCATTGATGAAACGGCCAAGATGTGGCCAACCGGACGATCCGAATGCACGCGATTTCTTTGCAACGAATCGCTTAAAGCGACGCACACGACGCTATGTGATTCAAGGACCAAAATGGACAAACACCAGTCTCACTTGGAGGTAAGTGAAGTAAATTTGAATTATTTTCTTCTATTGCACGGTGTTGTTCAATCTGACAGAGATGAACTTCTCTGAGATTGGCTCAAACTATACGTATAGAATTTTGCCATAACACTTCACCGAACATGTGTGTCTCCGGTAAAAAGAAGAACAATGTATCAAAATCCAGAGTTTATTTGATTTAAATTACCGGCACGGCAGCACTCTTCACAAACAATTTCGTTTTATTGAGTCCCAGAAAATCTTCATAAACTTCGATATGGTTTTTTTTTCTTCATTCGTTTGTTTTTGTGTATGTGCTAGGTGGGGGGGAGGAAATACATTTCTGAATGATATTCATTTTATTTAAATGTGCCCTTCGGATGGGTCATCGTGATTAATCATTGTTAAACTTGGACCGAATTCCATGTGCACGAATGAGAGAGACAAAGAAATTCGGATGCTCATGTGTTTCTTTGCGGATTTCAAAAGAGTCCGAGTTAAAAGTGAAACCTCTACGGTATTATCTACTTGACTTGTATGCATGCGGTTTGTACACGCTTGAACAGTTGAGTGGATAAAGGATGAATTGTTCGGAAACATCCCGTTCCACATCAGACACAAACTTTTGACCATACCCAAAAATATTTCCGATGCGATTTTGAGAAGATTTTCATGCTATCTCCTCCGAAAATTACCATTCGAAAAATTGAAAGTTGAAACTAAAATAACAATAACAACAATTAAGACCTGATTGTTGTTGCCCCTCTTCATTCACAAACATACACCTCGCCAAGATCGAGATTATCCGATTAAAAATTTAAAACACTCTTTATTCCAATTAGTATTTTTGTTCCCTTTTCACTATTTTTAAATCACATAAAATACGGTTGAATAAGCGAGTCAGAATATCCACCAGGTTTAAAAAATTGCAAAATTCATACTTCGGCTCGATTTAATCGAAAAATTGCATTTATTTTACCATTGAAATATTCAAAATTTGACAAATGAATCAGGTTTAATCTAAATTGGTCATGAAATTCTGAATAAATTGAAAAATGACGAAACGAACATCGGAAATAGAAAAAAATTGATATGAATAAGGTTGAAAAAAGGAAACTGATACGAATAAAGATGAGCCACATTTTGATTGAGCAAATTAATTCAATTTTTCACTTGTGTTATCATTCATTTAGCTGATGTTTTCCTTTCTTCTTTTAAAATATTGTGCCGAACTTGGAAAATGATTTTCTTCTCAAATCGTCGATGATTTGAAAGGAAAATATATGTGATAAAATCGTAGACAAAGTGTCGTGGTGAGAAGACATTTAAGGTACTTCAAAGATTTAATTAAAAGTAATTAGATACAATTAATGGCTGAAGAAACTAGCTCGATGAAATTTCCATCGCGAAGTGTTTTTCCGGGGTATTGACATGCTTTGAAATTGTGACGCATACAATGGATTCACTTTTACTCTTTCTCTCTCTCTCTCACTCTCTCTCACTCTCTCTCTCACACACACCCGCTCACTTACTCCAACCGATACATTTACGCAATTGATTTAGGCTTGAAAATGATGTCGTCGATTGACAAGGCAAATTGACCTTTGATGTGGATTCCTAAATAAAATGTACTTCTTTATTCAATTAGGTGCGTACGTAGAGACGAAGGCACAACAAAATGGAAAGCGATATTGAACATGAAGTGGAAACATTAAATATAAACGTAAAAGAATGAAAGAGAGAACTAAATCAATTGAAATCGAAGCAAGAAAAAGAAATTTTCCTAAATTGTGACATTTAGACTTTGTTTTTGTTGTTGTTGAATCAGTTATTTTGAGCGAGAAGTTCAAATACGATTCTTTTTATAGAAGTTATGAATGAACTTAGATGGAATGTAATGTGAATATTAAATGTGACAGTTAAAAATAGCCGCAAACGAATGTGAGTGTCTAAATTGAGTATGCAATGGACTAAAAGTGTTTGTAGAGAACTTTGAAAATTCATTTGTTTTCCCTTTATTTATTGCCCGGTCGACCTGAATAATTTCTAACTTATAACGCATGTGGCAGAAAATCCTTAGAAAAGCTACTGGTTAAAAAGGGAACATGTTGGAACTGATGCATTTATTTATAATGGTGTTTTCAAATAGCATCTCAAAAGCGGCTTTTTGAATGTATTTTCATGTTTTCATTCCATATCGATGACGTTATATTTTTTTCGATTTCTTTCGTATCTTTTATTATTTTGTGACAAAGATATGCTTGCACAGATATACAAATCCGAAATAATAACCAATCGTTTTGGTCGATTCCAGTGACATTCTACTTGCCAAGCAAATGGCGTATTCAATAAAAATTTCTAAGGAAAATACGGTATATTTATTTCGATAAAAAAGACGGGTCACGTGTTTCGATTTGAATCATTTTATTATTTTGGCGCTGCTTGCTTTGAATAGTTTCGCCAACGCTTCTCTGTACAATATGGAGTGCAGGTAGCGCCTCTTCAAATCATCGATACAAAGAAGTTGTACAGTTGTTTGTTCTTGTCTTTAAGAAAATTCACGTGTTCTTTTCCGTTGGCACGTGTACTGTCGCTTTATTATTATGTTAATGTTTTGTGTGCCCACCCACAAACATTCGGGAAAACTTTTAGCCCATTGGATTCAAATCAACCACTCTCAAATCATTGGCGAGACACACGAACACGCACAACAGAAATCAACTTATTTTATTTCAAGTGTTTGTTTGTCTCTTTCCGTTCTTTATTCGATGATAAGCATTTCCAAAGTAAGTTCGTGACTCGTAGGTCGAGTTCCGTGGTTACAAGATAAGTAGCCGTGTTTAACCGTATTAAAATGCTAAAATTACACTCAAATTTATGCATAATATTGACAAAGTGTGAAAAGAAAAGTGAAAATTGAATTTGTGCCATTTTCACATGGACGAAATCAGGAAAAATGCTGCAACCCAAATGAATAAATGATACGGTTTTGCGAACGGCCCGTTCCGTTAGCCATGAAATAATGAAAATATATTGAAGTTGATAAAGAAAAATATGCATACCATGAAAATTATGGTTTAAAGGAAAATAATTATTTGATTGCCATCCAATAGAATGGATAGGTCCGTATACGAACGAAATGGGCCATTTCAAAACACTGGGTGTTCAAAACCGTTTTGCCTCTTTTTACGTAAGCCACTCGGACAAAATGTTCGGAGCATTTGCTGATTTTGATGTAAGCGATGTCATTGTTTAACTTTTTCAAATGGTTCACATCACTTCCAGATGCTATTTTCCCTCGGTTTATCAACGCCGGGTGCCGTGTGTATGCCGTGAAAGTTATGAAACAACAAACTAATCATATTGCATTTCACATACAATTTAATATATTGTATATAAATATGTCGACCTGAAGTAAAAACACACACTCACATACATTGAGACTAACACGTGATCCATCTCGAATGCACTGAAAATCGTTCGAACCGAGTTTCGTTTCCTGGGCGAAAGAATTCCGAGGAAAGACATATATATTTTAAACCACATTATTCGAAACAGTTCCACTCAATTTCCGATGTTCCGTTGAATGTTCTCCATCGGATAGGAGATGTTTAAACAGTCATTGCGGTACAGTGAAGAGAAAATTCAATTTTCGATAAATTTCATATTAGAAGAAAAAAAACTTATAACGAGTTACTGTTCTGCCTCGGCATCGTCATAGTCATAGTCGTCGTCGTCGTGCTCAAGCGGCTGCAAAAGTAATTTACGTCAAAATTGCCGAAAATCCGTCTAGTTCAATAAAATATGCCCGTCAAAAGAGCGCATCATATCTCCATTTGTATCCTTTTCTCATCTTTTTCTTCTTCATACATATCAATTTTATTGCTTCGTCTATGTAATAATCGGATTTGCAGCGACAGCCCAATGTTGTTTTAATGCTCAATAAATTTTCAAACGGAAAATCCAAACAATATTGACAGATTTGACATTTATCGAATCCATAACCGAAATCAATTGCATAAGTAAAAAACACCTTGATTTACAGCATCAATCGGAACCAAGTAGCCCAGAATGCATCTGTAATCAATTCATTCTTTTACAATTGTCAGAACAAAATCAAAAACATACCAAATTGATCGAATCAATTAAATTTTCAATCAAAAAACTTTTGCCGCCTAGAGAATCCAATTCCAAAGAGCCAACTCCTTGTTCGGTTCGGTAATATTAAAAAAGTTTCCAATCCAACAACACCCATCCGAAAACCACTTACACACATACGGGTCTGGCATTGAATATTGAATATGAATTCAGTAGTGTGCAATTTATCTAATCTAATTGGTCTAATAAAATAACATATCTTGCAGTTATCATTTTTTTTCTAAACATAAAGCACCCATTTGAAAGACGAACATGCTAGATTCGCTTTCGTAATGCCTCTTTATTTGAGTGATTTGATCCATTTTTTATGCGAAACATATTGAAATTGTCATTTTGATTAATCGATTTGATCTGTCGTTCGTGTATGAGTTTCCAGGGTCCCATTCAGATATTCATTCGATTCGAAATTCGTTTTGAATTGCATTAAACGGCGTATTTTCAATATCAAATGCGATTTAATATCAATTCTCGTTCAAAATCAAGTTATGCACACGTTATGTCGTGAAAATAGATGAATATTTATTATGAGTTCAAACATTTATGCCGTGCAAACATGGGATAGTGGTGGCTTCAGTTTTACGGTGCGTGTAGCATTTAAAAATCCAACACATTCGTCTAGCCATTTTCGGAAGAGAAGATCTTCATTTTACCCTTCAGTTTTTATCTAAGCAAATTCTAAAGTTCATTTTCAAAATTCGGACCTCATCTGCCAAAAAAAAATATCTTATCCATCTAGGATTTTCAAGCCTTCTCTCGCTTTCTAATGTCAATTCATTGGCAATGAATTCATTTCTCGTATTCATAATTGGATTTTCAACCAAATCAAAAAAGAAACAAATCCCGTTAAAAAATTAACCACAGATTCAATATTTCAACTTAACATTCGAAATGGCAAAATCCGTCTTTGGAATAAAAAAAAACCAACTCTTTAAAAATAAACGTTTCAATTTCGCGAATAATGTCCGACATGAATGAGTATGAAATCCTCGACGGAGAATAAAATTTGGTTGATTGAAGTCGTGATGTTGTGAAATGTGTTTTTATTTGGATTTTGTTTTGGTTTTCTCCATTGAATTGGTAACGGTTGCCACTTTTAACAATGTAATTTGATTAACACACATTTTTCGGAAGGTGGAAGAATCGCAATAAATATGCCAAGCGTTTTTGGTTTCCTTTAGGCGGAGGTGTATGCTTTCCACCCGCTTGCTACATCTTTGTTGTGTACGTGTGAGATAGACGGAGGGAGAGAGTTCCTGAATTATATGCGATAATAGCAACAACAACTAAAATATCGAATAAAAGCCCAGTAACACACACACACACACACACACACACACAACGAGTTAACAATGTACAATGGAAACAAATGTAATTTGATAACAATCGACCACATTAATTCGATATCACTGAAATGGATTGCAACCGCACACAGCATGAACGAAGAGTAGAATGAGAAAAATGGGAAAATGCACCACGGTCGACCAAATGAGAGTACATTTTATATTTTTGGAGCCGAAAATGAGTGATGGTGATGATGATGACGTTGTAGTTTCAAATATTGTTTTCACCGTATTTTTCGGAATGGTTTTTGACAGCATTGCCCGGATGTGGCAGTAACAGCAGTGGTGGCGACTGGCGAACGAGTCTCACAACACCGTCCGAAATATAAATCGGAGTGGAAACGATGCATGCCGCCCAGAATTCCTGGTGTTCTCCTCACTAATGCGATCGGCCCGGTTCGCGTATCAACATCAAAATGCATTTATAAGTTATGGCCGCTTCATAAAGGCGTTGGGTTGCTTTTATGTACACAAAAAATACAACTGACTATGAGACAGCAGAAAACAAAACGAGGAAAAGAGCAAAAGAATTGAGATAAAAGTGTTGTGTTTGACTTGAAGGCATATTGCGATAGTGCAGCAAATAAACAACGGTAAGCTTCTGGACACTTGTCTTCTGTACCTTTGTCCAAACCAAGTGAACAATCAACAAAACAAGGCTGGCGAACCTGGTTCAACCGTTTTTAACTGGCGGAAATTAATTTAGACTTTGCTTTTGAAGTAAGGCTAATCACTATATCACACTAAAAAGACTCATTTCAGATGACTCATTATGAATAACCGGATGTTTTGCAAAGCAACGGAAAGAAAACAATTAGATTAATTACAACGAGAGAAAGTAGAAAAATGATACAAGTTTCTGCAGCAGGTACATTGTCTATCATTGTAATCAGGCCAACTGTCAGTCAACATTCAATTTTTACTATTTATGAGTGAAATCAATTAGATTTTCCACTTTGAAAACTAACAAAAATATTACTCATCCGGTATGCAACGCAACGATCGCCACGGAAGTGATACCATCTTTGTTGTGTGTACCAAGTTTTTATCAACAACAATAGCCAACCACCAGAAGTTGGTGATTCAATTTGTTTATGTAAAAATGCACTGCAAACGAAAATCAACTTATTCGTATCGTATTTGAAACGAATGTCTGGAAAAGAAATGAGATGTGCAGCATATTTGTCTGCTCTGTTTATCATAAGCTCACACTTTACTGTGAACTAATTCATTTGTGTTGGTTACACCGAGAGAAGAAAACGCCCGAACGTATGCAACACTCTTTTTTTTGTTTAATATGTGGAAAGCTTTTTATACTCGGATGTTGCAAGACACACACATTCTCACTGCCCCCAAAGATAATTTGTTGTAAGATAATCGCTGTTTGGTTTTTGTTTTTGTTAGAAAAAAAAACGAAATCGGACAAAACAATAAAATACCATATTACCACGTCGAAGTGACGACGCAAACATTCGAGACAAATGGCAAATGCGCGCCATTTGATACCACCAAACCGAATAATTGTGTTTTTAGTCCGAAATGGTGTATGAAGGGACGAACAAGAGAGAAGTTAATGGAAAAAGCGTAAATATTTTCTCGTAACATTGTTAAATTGTGTTGGATCCTTCTATTCGTTTATATATCTCTCTCTGTGTCGTTGCAAAGTATCGAATTTCGATTGCATTATTCGGAAGTCTTAAAAATGGTTTAGTCAAAACATTGATATGGAATCCGCAAATGTGTTGTGCATCTTGCTGCCGAATGGATGCGTCAATTTTCGCAATTACGTATCGCAATTGAATTTTTCAATGCAAAATTTATTTGAAAACTCGTTAAATGAAGATGATGTTCCACATTTAACTGATATGCCTCCTTCAATCCTTCCTCACCTAGAACACAAAAAAGCAGGTCCATCAAGAAAATTAAATTCACATTTTCGTTGTTACTGTTGTTGTCCATAGTTGTTCACTAAAATTTTCTACATTTCGAAAAACAAACTTTCGAAACCCTTCATATCGTCCGTACTCAATATTTCGGCCAAACTTTTGTTGAGAGTTGTTATTTTGTGGATTGTTTTTGTTAAACTTTTTGTTCGTGTGTAAAACACGGATTTCTCTGTGGCCCATTCTCTCTCTCTCTCTCTCTCTCTCTCTATCTCTGCCCATTCCCTCTTCACATGTACACCTGTTAGCCATGCTCTATACCCTATCTATCTAATGGACCATCGTTTGTCTTTTGCTTGAAAATCCGGCGGGAATTTATCGGAATTCAAAATGCCTCGAAAAAATGTAAATCTTGATGCGCTAGTAATCGAAACCAAATACACCAATGAGCTTACTAAAAAAAATAACAGCTTTTGTTTCCAATATCCAAGTTGTTGTTGTTTGTATGTGAAGCTTTAAACCGGTCGTTCAAATTAAAATGACGCCAAATTTCCTATTCAAATACAAATAATCTAGAAGTTTCTAATTAATTCGAAACAAGCATTCATGCTGCTTTCAATCAATCAGGTGCAACCGATCGATTGACAACTAAAAAAACCCCCAGCATGTTCTATGGCGAGAGAGAAACAAAAAGAAATATGTAATTTGGTTTTTCCACCCACTGAGAGCAGCTATGTCCATCAAAATGCATTTGTTCTAAAACAATCTAGTTCAATCTCTGTGCATTTTTTTGTCTCTTTATCTTATTTATTTAAGCAAGCGTACGTTAAATTATCCACTATTGCTGATCAGATTGATATTTAAAAAAAAAAAATCGTCGATGGGCACAGAATGGCAGCTCGCATCAATTCGATATGGTTGCAGTGATAAGAGTGATTCCCTTGAGCCACAACATATTGTAGGAGTTAGTTGTGTGCCTTTGATATCACAACTGAATGACAAACATTTGTAAACGAGAACGACAAACGACTGTATTTTTCCGCCTCTTTTTCAAATTTCACTCGAAATTACGCTTGCAATTATTTTGTATAAAATGTTGCATTGATCTTCTGAAAACTAATTGAATTTTGTAATCTTGTCAAAAGTAACGGGCCTTTTTTGTTATCCAAACCAAATCGGATAGAACAGAGAAAAAAATATACCCATTCATGCACTAAACTCACTCCATTTTTTTTTTGCTCGATCGCCAGCTTATTTACATATTCATTAAATAATTGAATTTAAAAGTGGCTCGTCGAAGCGCAGTTTGAATTTAGTGTGACTGTGTTTGATGTGTATAAAAGGTTAAAATTGGTAATTGAATTGATTGGAACGAAAATCAGAGAGGCTACAAATACAACACACGCATTCACACATATACACACAAATGCATGGCGGGGTATAGACACAGAAAATTGAATCTATCGCTACTACACACACACACACACACACACACACACACATAAATAGCGTCTATTAATAGAGCTAATGATTTAATTAGTCGCATCTGGTGGCGATTGAAAACATTCTTGCACTAGATCACCCAGACAACCGTCACATCAGCTAATCGAGCATTAGTCACTCGGGCTTGTACTGTATTTCGCATATAAACATGTGTGTTTTTTTCTCTTTATCGGTTTCTCCCCCTCTCTCTCTCTCTCTCTCTCTCTCTCTCTCTCTCTCGTTTTTCTGAATTGGATGGAATGGTCAACAAGTTCGATTTCGAAGTCGCTGGGTTGATTTGAAATGACCTTTTATCATAAACACTTAACTCTCTATCTCGTGCGTCCCGGAGAGTTTAATACGAAAGTAATACCTTCCGAATGTCCATGATGATGATAATAATGATGATGATGACGATGGGAAAGTGTTTGTGTTTGTTTGGCCATAGTAGCAGCAGCACTTGAATCTCTGCGGGTGATGGCTGCTCCATAGATCGTGTCAATTTTATTTTATTCCGGTTTGGGAAGGCCCAGTTTAAACAATCCATACGGCCCGCTTTCGAAAATGGCATTTTTAATTACAACGTTCAGTCGCATGTATTCTCGTTGGTTCGTCTATTGGATGGTACACCATACTACGCTATAATGGGTCCTGCTATCTCTCCATTCAAAACTCAGCGCCGTATCATGCGTGAGAGAAAGAGAGAGAAAGAGAGAGAAAGAGAGAGAGAGAGAGAGAGAGAGAGAGAGTGAATGACTGTCACACGTTAAACTGAGTCCACCTTAAAGAGCGTGTATTTTGAACGGGTGTGCGTTGTATGTGTTTTTGTCGTTTATTAACATTTATCACAAAATTAAAGAGATGTTAATTGAGGGGGTCAATAATATCAGTGGGCGTAGCGACAACAATTCATACACTCTTTCTCTATATCAACACCAAACGATCACTTGTCTCTTTTTCCCTTTCTCGTTTGTTCAGGACATTTAATGGCGTGTTTTTATTTTTGTTTTTCTGTAGCTTCATTATGAGATTTCCAAGAATGAATTAACCAAAAACCGATCGGTGAATCATCAACTTAACCTTTTTTCAAGCAGTTGAAGATGGTTCAAAAACCAAAATCAATCACACTTTTTGTTTTGCCGGGCATCCAACAAATTTTAATTATCCCAACTGTTATCAAATGAATTGGCCTATGAGTTGGTATATGAGTTCGTCAATTTTATTGTTTAATTTTAATCACTGTGTATCAATTGTGAGCTTTTCAACAGAGAGAGAGAGAGAGAGAGAGAGAGAGAATTTTCAATATAATTTTTTTTATTTAGTATATCTGATTTGTGCCTTGTTAAGTATCATCAGCGTGCTTTTTGCAATGATTCGATAACTAAATTTCCGCACACACATGGAAATAATATTATTTTCATTCATTTACTTTTATTATTCCATCATATAGCAGAATCACTTATTATATCACGATTGTTTTTTTCGTTCATTTTTTATTTGGTGGCAAACCTTCCATGGAAGCATCAACGCGTAATTCATAAAAGAGAACGAAATTCAGTTGGATGAAAAAAAAATTAAACAATAACACTGGGATTTAAACTGGACTTTTAAATGTTGACTCGAATCATTCATATGTGCAGTTTTAATAACATTTCAGTGTTTGTTTTACATTTATTTTATGAAAACCACTGGATTGTTCCCATTCAAAGAGAATAAATAAAAAGGAACAATTGATACGAGCAACAAAAAATGAATTCAACGAAAAATAAAAAAAATTATCTTCATTCTAACGGTTGTCTAATAAAACGAGTCAAAACTTAATCACAAGAAATTCAAAGGTCAGCATGCAATTATACCCAGCAATTAGTCGAATAAGAGCAATACCATTTATGAATCGGGTTTTTAATTATTATGACTCGACAGAGAAAGATTAATTTAAAACAGTGGTAGTAACGACAAATAGGTGCATAATATCTCAAAGCGCCAATCAAATTTTTATTATCAAATGTTGTTTAAAAATTACATTAATTTTTCGTATAATATTTTCTGTGTCTTGAACAGAATTAAAGTGATTTTAGATTCAATGCTTATATTTTTTATTTAATAACCAAAGGCAGTATATTTCAAAAAAGAAATGAAACCAAGATCTTAAAAAATATGAGCATAAAATTCAAATTCACCATAATTTGTTTCAACACTCAAAAAGTATCTAGACAAAAAAAAAGCAGATTAGTAGCTCTACATTTCATGTAGTGCTAAAAAGGGCAGAAGAAAACGAAAGAGAGTGAAAGAGAGGTGAAGAGGGAGAGAGAGAAAGAGAGAGAGAGAAGGAGAGAGGAAAGGCATAGAAAAAGAAGAATAGATAGTTGATCGTTTTGAAAGATGAGAAAAAAAAACGTATTCTAAGTCCATTTTCCCTTGGGAAAACCGCGGTTGAAAGCATCGCTCAACACTGTCGACACAACAGTGATCCGTCATGGCTATCACTTGCAAATGGAAATGGAATAACCATAGATCGACAAAAGCAACGGGGTTTTAGTGGATCTGTCATTTTGAAAAATACACCGAGTTGATGATCCTATATTCCATGCCGGACGAATGCTAAACTCCAGATTGAAATCAGATAGTACTCCTTTGTGGGACAATGCACAGCACTCACGTTTATATGCACACATTCATCCAAAGACAACGGTTCGTATACACGACGCAAACACAACTGTGAATGCAAGGAAGTGGAACCTCGATTGATAATCTTTAATTCAAGCAAACGCCAACTCAAAAAGTAAATTTACAAAGAGAATTCAACCAGAAATGGACGTACTGAAAAGTCCATTGCTATTAAGATTTTTCTAAATAAATGGAAAGTATGACTCTCCAATACACAATCAATGCTCGGTTTGCCGTTGATTTTCCATATAAAACAAACGGTTCAATTGCGTTGTCTTCGCCTGTGTTGCTGTTCTGTTGCGTAAGCGAGCGGATGTGGTGGAATCGATGTGTGTGTTTGTGTCTCTGTGTGTCTCTCTCAGTGTGTGTATGTGTGTGAATGTTCGGAGCTGGTGTGCTTTTGCATGCGGGCTGACATCAAACCATTCGCCGTCTTGGCATCGTTCAAATAGTGCGGCAACATCGAATTCAGTCCAGTCTGTGCTCAACAGCTTTCAAGTAAACATCGAGTTTTCTGTGTACAATCCAAGTCTCGAATAAACCGAAAAAATACCAGAATTTACTAAAATACTTATAAAAAAAAAATAAACCGAACAGTAAATAAATTCCAAGGAAGTTTTCCTAACAAACAATTTTTTTTTCATCAATTTTTTTTTGTCGATTTGTCTAAATTCAAATAATTTTTTTGCCACTATTTTAAATCCAAGTGTTTTTTTGTTTAAATCGTTAAAAAAAAATTCTCTCTTAAATAATTGAAAAAGTAGTAAAATTCCCGGGGCTGACTATTCAATTGAAGAAAAATTATGCATATTTTTTCTTTCAACCAAAAGACAAAGCGGCAAGAAAGCAAATATCGAAATTAACATATCGCAATGCTTGAGGTTGATCAATCGATTGGTTATCAAAGAGGTAGCTACAAAGTTCTGCTTTGCAGTCAGCATCTTTCAAAAATTAGAAAAAAAATACTATCGTTGATTTGAGTCGCGTGAACAAATCGAGAGAAGAAACAGAGAAAAAAAAATTGGAGCAAATTGATGAAGAATGCGGGCTACGACTTCCACTTAGAGGAACGAGCGCATCAAAGGCTCGATAACAGAATGCATGCAAAAAAAAAAAAGAACAACTGATGGTCAAAACTATGGGAGCATAGGAAAATGGGCTCATTGCATGTGTTCATCGAGATGAAAAGGCCAAATATCAAGCAGCGCAAACATCGCTAACGATTGCATTGTTTTATTGTATCCAACCAGTAGCAGCACCACCGCCACCATCAGCACCAATCACAACAGACATGGACAGCAAAAAGATGCCAACCACTATACATTTTCTTCTTCGTTTCGTTGCCGATTTGAATCGTGTCGAAAATCATTACACCCAAAAGCATCGGGTGCATTTTTTCCCCCCCGCGTACACACCATGCGACAACGTGTGCACCATCCCGATATAGATATTGAATGAGGTAAATTTTCTTCCACTTTCGTCCATAAGTTTTCGTGTGTGCTTGCCATTCCGTTGAGTTTTCATTTTATTCTCATCGTCTCTCTTGGTTATTATTATTTGTTATTTTTTTCTTTTTGCGTCTTCCGTGTGATTGCGCGTTTTAAAAGCCATTTGGCGTTGAACACTGGCGCAATGTGTTTGTATCTGTGAGAGAGGAAGAAATACGCGTTCTGTTTTTGCAGGCGCATTCAAGTACACACACATACTCATTGGTGTAATGATACAGATTGTGCACATGTAGCAGCATATTGCGAAATTTCCCATGTTGTTTTCTTTCTCTTTAAATGCCTGTCTCCCACTCGTTCGCCCCCACGTTCACATTTCGGTTTTTAGCTCCATTTCAAATTTGAATTGGTGCAGCAGCGAAAAAAGGCATAGCAACTTCTTTGCACACATGAATCTCGAAGATGGGAAATATTCGCTGACTCCAATGTTGTTGTTACTTTTAAAAGAAAAACTCCATTTGTTTCTATTATTCATATGCAATAAAATGTAGCGTTTTGTTCTGAAACAAAACTTCGGATCCTGAAGATATTTCAAACGTTTTTGATTTAAGTGTCGTTCGTTAGAAAAGCGTTCGATTTAAACATAACTCGATTTTCGTTGTGTTCCTCTCTCACTCCTCCTTCCCATATTTCGACTTCCTTCGACGACGAAAAAAAAAACAAATCCTACCGATGAAATCAAACAAGTGTAATGTTATGCGAAGCCATTCGAATGATCGATTGCGTATGGCAAGCATCGATGACAATGACGCGACGAAATGGATCAAATGTCGGTTGTCGTTGTGCACATTGTATACTTTATTGGAAGTTATTTAAAATGCTCGAGACAAGTTCATAACACCACTTTCTTTCTATACGAAACAATTAAATATTTCAACTGTGTGATGTCTGCGTGTGTGCGTTTTTCATTCCTTCTTCTCTGTTTGTCACCCGTATTTATTCAATTTATGTGGGATTTTTTTTTAATAAATCATTGCGATATAAATAGTATGTTTACAATGTGCACACTTTGTTTATCAGTTTTTTCTTTCTTTGGTGCGATGGCAAAGACGAAGTTTCAACAAAAAAAACGCTATTCCTCTCTCACACACTCTCATTCTCGCTCTCGCTCTTTCTCTTCAAATTGAAAATCAAAAAAACGAAACGATAAACTATACAAGCAACAGCAATAACAGTGACGTTGCTGTTGACCAACAACGCAATTAAATTATTTTGATAAGTACAAGATGCCGAATTCTCCGAAAATTGATTCGAATCGAATAGTGCATTGCTTTGGATTCGTCTCATGATTCGTTTGTTTATTTGACAGCTTATATTTTTTTTCATGTTTCACAATCGGATTCATTTCATTTAAACCACAGCCGAAAAATAACACATCACATCAAGAACACTCGCATCACACCCAATATTACGATCAGCATTTTTGAATTCAATACATATGGCCACATTCAATGGCACACTTTGTTCCGAAAAATTTCGAATCAAACTAATTCGTTCAATTGCAAATGATGAGTTTTCATTTTATCGAACGGATAAAAAATAATGATCAATTCCAATTCTAGTTCCAATTGGTGATTTCCATTGAAAAGAATTTATTTTGGATAAGAACAAATTGTGAATTTTTTTTCGATTCATTTCGAACCTTCGAAAAATTCAGTCAATTTAACGTATTTGGTTTCAATACATAAGAGTTGCACTCCAAGCACTTGCTCTACGTTCAAAGGACAATATACCATTTTAAGAGCATCAATTACTGGGAGAGTCTCTTTTGAAATACACACAAAAAACGGCTCGAAGCTTTTACTTTGTTGATCTCAAGAATATTGGATTGTGAAATCCTGTTTCAGTATAAAACTGCTGTTTGCTTTGGTTCATTATACTTTTGATTTTCTGTCAATGACATGTTATTGTTTGTGAGCAACAAATCGAAATAAAGTTCGTTCGCATTTTCGTCAATGATCAATGATTTATCTTGAACAAATTAATTGATACAAATCGATGACAAATTTTGATTTCCATTATCATTGAAAATGATCGAATAAATTCAAGCGAAATAAAATACATCGCAATTTTTATTTTTTCGATTTCATTTTTTTCTCTCTCTTTCAGTTCGAAAAAATTTCATCTGCTCACTTTTTTTATCGTATTCATAGCTGTTTTTATGTTGTTGTTGTAGATTCTAGTGATTGTCTTTTTTATCAAATTAAAATTAGTCGATCATAATATCTGCGTCCAAATCTTGACTACTAAAAGAACTAAGATTGGTGCTAGTATCGCAAAAACAACGAAAAATGCTCATTTTCAGCTCGAAGATATAGAACGTAGCATGAAAATTATTTATGCATGATCTTACATGATCAAAGTTGAATTTCAATAGAAAAATTTGTGAAGGCAAAATATTCGGAATAAAAACGAGAGAAAAATAGGATAAATCAATAATTGTTCTGAAATGATGTAGACGAAAGAAAAAGTTGTTCTATTCCGAAAACTATTCAAACAAACAAGAAATTCGACTATTCGCTATAATCATTCGTCGATTCAGTTTTTCTGACGAAAACTCTGACATTCACATGGCTTTTCTTCAGGAAGAAAGAGTGTGTGAGTGATTGAAGCCAGTACAGATCCGACGTCAATACAAAATCGACGAAACGAATGCCTTTAAATGCTTACAGACTTCATTTTTGCGCTTAATTTATTCAATTATAATCTGAGAAACGCACAAATTATGTACACAGATTGGAAAGCGTGGCAAAAAGTGGCAAATCGGGCTCTCACAAATCCACGCCACACACGCACACACACCATCCAACATCGCCCCCCAAAAAGTGATGAAATTCGATTAAGAATCCGACAAAAAAAGGATATATACAAAAATCAAATAGAAATTAAATTATTTATTAATTTTCCATTTGATTGGGCCACCATCTAAATGCCAATTTATGCAAGATGAAAAAAATAAGATATTCGAGGCAGCCCCGAGACTGCATCAAATGCGCGCTCGCTCGCTCACGCACGTATACATTTCTGGTGGGGAGTGCGAGCGAGAATGTGTATCGCGAGCGAGGGAGCAAAATTGAAGGAAAATCAACTGCAAATTGTCGAATATACGAAAAAAAGGGAATCGAGCATTAAATTCAATTGGATACAGACTATGCATGTGTGTTTGTATGGTTTTTGTATGCAGTTTCTATTAAAATATATGCATTCGTTGAAGCAGACACTAGCAACATGCTTGCACTCTCTCCCATTCACTCTATTCACTAAGTTATATCGCGTGCGCGCACAACAACCCGTTATGAATCCTGTGTCCAATTATTCTGGATCACACAATCGGTCGCGCAGACATTTTGTATTGAGTAAAATCGGACGATCAGGTGGTCAATTACCTCCATATTTTCAATTAACAATGGTATGTGTGCTTGCACAAAAGGTGAATGCGCCCAACTATGAAATGGCCCGTGCACACACAGTTGACAATTAAAATTAAAAATGTATGCAAAACAAACAGACAAACAAACGCGAGCGAGCGCGCGAGCGAATGAGCATAAGCCATGCCAAGCCAAACCGTTATTCCTATTGAAGCCAATACAAACGAATGATTAACGTCAAATGTATGACATTTTAAAGCCGCATGTACAACCAAAAAAAAAAATTCAATCTATGTTGGGCGTTTTTGAACGAAACAAAAACGACAAAAAACCTAGATTCAAAAATAACGCATTCTGTTGTTATATCCGCCTATTAAACGGACGATTGAAGGAAGCATTCAAAAAACAAGTTGTTGAACAAATTGAAAAAAAAACCATTGACGCATTTTAATTCATGGTTTTTTTTTTTCATTTCCAAACTTTCAATCGCAATGGAATTCAAAGGACGCTTAGAAATTTAATTTTATACATTCTATTTCAACGTCCGTCTAAGCAGCGTGTCAAGAAAGTATTCGCTTGTTCAGCGAAAAATGAGCTCATTGCTTTGCGCGTCGTAAATCAATTTTCACCGTTTCGTCTCAGCGTTCACCCAATCTAATCAATGTGTATTGCAACAGAAACGTTTTATTCTTTCTGCGAACAAAAAAGAAGAAAAGAAGAGAAGAAAAAAATTACCGCTAATAATTGGTGAATACAAATGAAGGACGCCCAAGCGCTGTGCGATGCATAGCATGTATGTGAGGGAAAGTCAAACAGAGTTGAAAGTAAAGTAGATTACGTGCCAAAGAGTGCGAATACCGGAAGCTTTCAAGAAATAAAGAGCAGACAAAAAGCACGTAAAATCTCATTTTGTGAGAACCTACTTCAAGATTACTCTTCAAGCCCAACCCAGCCAAGCAATGTCGAGCATATGAAAATTCTATGCACAGCATATTGTGTGTGTGTGTGTGTGTGTGCATTTTTGATAGCGTCAGCAGTTAAGAGCAACAGCGAAGAATACGCGCTACTCGCTTTCTCTCTCTCTCTCTCTCTCTCTCTCTCTCTCTCTCTCTCTCTCTCT